CAATATAGAAGGCGGCTCCACAGCCGACTCATCGTGTTTCTTTTCTTCTGTTTTCAGCATGGAATAATTATAATAATAATAATTGCTTACACTTATATACGGTAGCACTTTTCTGGACACCCCACTCAAAGTGCTTTACAGGTAATGGGGACTCCCCTCCACCACCACCAATGTTCAGCATCCACCTCCTGAATGATGCGATCAGCCATAGTGCTCCAGTACGCTCACCGCTCACCACACACCAGATATCAATGGGGAGGAGAATAGAGTGAGTGGACACCGGGGTAACACCCCTACTCTTTTCAAAAAACACCCTGGGATTTTTAATGATGACAGAGATTCAGAACCTCACCTTTAGTTTTACGTCTCATCCAAAGGACGCCAAAGGACGCCGCAGTGTCCCCATCACTATACTAGGGCATTAGGACTCGCACAGACTGCAGGGTGAGTGCCCCCTGCTGGCCCCTCTAATACCTATTAATACCTCTTCCAGCAGCAACCTTAGTTTTTCCCAGGAGGTCTCTCATCCAGGTACTGACCAGGCTCACAACTGCTGAGCTTCAGTGAGCTGCGAGGTGTGAGTTGCAGGGTGATAAGGTTGCTGAATCACAGGGTGATATAGCTTCTGGCATATAAACTTGTACCCTGAACAGGAATCAAACACGGATCTTCTGGGTGAGTGGCATACACAAAACTCACTGTGCCAAAACTTTTTTTTTCTCTGCCTAATCAGGGAACACTGATTAGTTGAATACTAATTGCAACAGTTAGCTGGTTTCTCAGCCTATACATGTGGAAAATACACCTTTTTGTCTTCTGGTTTTGGGAAGACCGGAATCTTTTAGATTAGCTATGTAAGGGAGGAAGGGAGGAAGGGGGTGAGAGAGGAACCTTGTGCTGCACTTCATGAATACTATAAGAATGTTTGTGTGGCTGTGGAAAATAAACTTACACAATTGAAAGACTTTAGCCAGTGGTGACAAGGCACCCCCCAACCATCACAAAGCATTTAACCTTCTGACAATTGAAGGAGGTCAAGGCGATGAAGGAGGTCTTGATCCAGTAGTTCAGAAAATGCATTTTACAAAATCAGTCTTTAAGTCAGTCTTAAATCTCTGATTGATACAAAAGCTGGTGTGTAGCAGTCTCTTGAATGCGTACCTTGTCACTAGTCGCTTATCAATTGTGACATAATTCTTGGATGTACAATTTGGTGAAAAAGTACCACCTTGATATTTTGTGGTTTGACCTTTGTCATAGTACTAGTTGAAGTACTGTAATACAATAATTGCACCAGCATGTATAGACTCCTGAAGAAGACTCCACAGCAAAACATTTTTTTTTATTTTCCTTTTAGCATGGAATAAACCTTTATTTGTTCTTTTATAGATAAAACTAACTTCACTTAACAAACAACACACAAAAAATCTACTTTATTGTTTAAACATAACCAGTACTCAATAACTGTTTGTAAAAGTAATACACCCTTAGTCCAAATATCTCAGTTAAGAGGGTATGTAGAATCAGATGCGCCGAAGATCTTCAGGAGTGATTACTATAGTGTAACAGAGTTTAAGTCTGGAAGATGTCTGAATGTACCTGTGGTGATCGTTGGCTCAGGCTGATATCTCAGAAGGAGATAGAAGGCCAACAATGGATCTTCCCAGGAATATTTTAGTTTCTTGGAAAACAGCTGTAAATCATAAGAAAAAGGCTTTCTCTTCTAGTATGTGAGAGAGAAAAGGGAATCGGTGCCTTAGCTGCAGTGCTGGGTGAGGATCTGAAAAGAATGAAAAGACAACCGCATGGGAATTTTATGTAGCTGCTCCTTCTGAGTAGGACCAGCTGTGGATAATGATCTTGTAATTCATGTCCACTTGGATGTCGGAGAAGTGAGGACCAAGCTAAATTCTTTATCTCACTCTGCCCTCTAGTGGTGATCAGTGTTTTTTGGCTTCGTAATTCTCCTCTGTGCAACAGTATTTACTAGGGTAAAGCAACTATATCTATTGCACAGTGTCTCGCACAAATGTTTAGAACCTTCCCATGGCATCTCATTTTGTGAGATTCTGAAAGATTATTATCAATATGAAAAATTATTCTATTATAATAATACACATTATTTAAACTTCATATTTTATTCAAAGCTGAAATAATTGGACTGTGAAGTTCTTAGGCTAAATTTCAGTAAATAACAGCAACAGCTAAAGAAAAACAACTGAAATATGTTAAGGAGTATTTAGATAGGTCAACTCAATATTTGAGTAATTTCTCAAATATTTGAGAAATTTGCACATCATTCATACCTCTGTATTTAATTTCCCACAAGATGATTGGGCATCTCTACTGAACTGCAGTTTTCAAGTCTTTTCACAGATTGTCAAATCTTGAGGATAAGCAAAGACTGTAAAAAAGGAAATTCAAAAAGATTACTTAAAATTTGAGAGTGGTAAAACAGCTGGCACATGACTTTTATCTTAGTCAAGTAAAGGGCTTTTTACAGGTAGCAAATATAAACAATAAATATGGTTACTAAATACAAGACAGGATACAGTATAACCTGAGCATTAGTTATATGTTTTAGATAATGTTTTCTAAAAACACTCTAAAAAATAATGCCCACAAGTCAGTAGGAAGCAATGTTCCTGTTCTTACAGTACATCATTAAAAAAGGAGAGAATGTTTTTAGCAAGAGTATTCAGCATATTAGGTTTGGTAATTTGGACAAAGTATGATAGAGATTAAATGAGCCAATGAATAATAAAAAGATTGTGCGTTTAATACCTAAAAAGGATTGAGTGCACTGGATGCTGATCAGTGCTACCACAACCCTTAAAGAAGTCCCCAAAAATAATAATACAGATTTCTTCAAATATTAAATTAAGTTAACAGCAAAGTTCCATGACAAGTCAAATATATATTTGTATGTATTTCCACATGCAGTATTTCAGAGGAACACTGAAAGTAAATTAAATGCATTAGAAGCTTGTGTGATGCGGGCAATGGAATGTTAGTGACCGAACAGGTCGCAGCAATTGTAGCAGCTATCTTGAAACTGGATTTCATATCGAAGGTATTTAGTACAGCTTTATCAATATGAATAATTATTCCATAACAACAACAACAATAACAACAACAACAACTGTTGTTGTTGTTGTTGTTGTTGTTGTTCATTCTATCTTCCCTGAGGTCAGAGTCTTGCCCTTATTGTCACTGTTTCATTTGACATCTGGATAAGAAATAAAATCTATTATTGATAATAAAAACTGAAATTAATCCCAACCCAATGCACCTGGATGGCACTTTCTAATAATAATAATAAAGTAAAAAGTAAAGTAAAAAAAAATAGAAAAGACAATGGCATTTATAAATGCTAATTACTACTGTATGTTTCTATCTGTTCTACACAGATATACAGTGTACACAGAATGGTACACTGTATATTGATTGTCCTTAGATGTTCTGCTTAAATCACAATTTGGAGCACAGGAAGGGATAATAGAATTACATTTGTAAAAGAGTGCATACAAGGTCATAAAATTGCTTTTACTTCTATCAATGCATCTTTTAACCAATTTTATTTTTGCTCACTCAATAATGATTAAATACTGAATCTATGTATTGGTGCCCATATGAAATGACATTTTTCAAAATAGGACATCCTGTAATCTATAACTCATTCTGATGTTATTTGTTCCTATTTCATTGGATGCATGAATAAATCTACAGTATATGGCACTGTAAATCAATAATAGTGGGAAAAGTAAAATAATTGCTTGTGTAGTCGTTTTCTTTGGAGGGATTTTCAGTGTCTGTATTTTAGATTTTTTTTCACCTGCACATGTAGTCCATCGTCAGAGAGGCCAGTTGTCACAACCGTAAGTCCCTCCTCTTAAGGGCCCTCCGGCTCTTTCCTGTTTTGGTTGATTTTTCTGCATCTGCCTCCTGTTCTAGCCCCTCCCTGTATACTGTAAGCCAGACACCCCTACCATTCTGAGCTCACCTTTGGAAGATGGACTCCCAGGAGCCTGCCTACCAGAGGGTCCAGGGGTGGCCTGATGGCATATGCTTCACAATGGCGTCCTGACATTCTGGGTCAGGGGCTGGGAGCACCTGGCCCAGTTACCCCTTTTTTATTCCCTGTCCCTGCACCAGATCCCGCTCCGGTTTCTAACTTTTGTCTCATCTGTCTTGGATGGATTACCCGGTTATGGACTTTTGCTCCCACTCTGGATTTCCTACGGACTCTCTTAAGACTGTTGCATGGACCACGCCCCCCAGAGCACTAGCGCAACGTCGACACCCCCCCCTGTTCTTCTACCAGCCCCTTTCCTAGTTAAATCATTAAATTTATTGATTCTTACACATTGTCATGGAAATCTCCTCTTGATTTTGGTCTAGCACGGGAAAGCAATATTTAGTTTAAACAGACCCTAGAGTGAAAAGGTCTTGTGGCCAGTCATCACCCTGTCCATCAGTACATGCGAGGGCAAAAACACAGGAAATTATGGCAGGAAATGTATTAAGTTATAAGCATTTCTGTCCTGTAAGGCTTTCTTATGAGATGACATCTGTAATTTTAAATAAAGAGTAATGGAAAGTTGAGCCAATGTGTGTTCTTCCCTGTACCATTTGTTCTGGTACATGCTTTCAAGTGTCTGCGAGGTTTCTTCTAATTGCTGGGACTATGTTTGTTCCTTCTGAACCTTCCTGGATTGAAGCTGTTAAAAGGAAGAATTGGGTAATTGAATGTTGTGTTACATGTCCTACCTTTTGTCGATCTAATGCAAATAGGCCCCAAGGTACCTGTTTTATAACCATTCCTGCAGGTGTGGTGTAGATCTCCTTTGAAAAACAGAAGTTACATTTCCCTACTTTCCTATTTGCTATGAGCCTTTTCTTAATACATATAAATAAATAAAAAACACAGACAAAGGACATGTGATGCTATAAGTATTTATTAAAGAAGTAGAAATATCAATTACTAAAGGTACAGGAAATAACCCCATTACAGAAAATAATTATTCTCAGAGTGATAAATAACTATTTCTAGCCATATTATCTTAAATCCCCTCCAGTAACAATAGATTTTCTTGTGGCTTAAGGATTAATGGCACAAATGTAGGCAAATTGATTGTTGCAATTCATATCATTCCAGTTTCCGTGATCTGAAAGACAGAAGAAGGAAGAGCTAAGAAACTTTCAAAGTACACACCAGTCTCTAATAACTTTATCAAGGGTTTTGCCTCCCAAGACTTTATCACACAATGAAATAAACACCCTTGCTTGTGGCCCCAGAACCTGATGCAACATTTTTCTATCTCTGCACAAGTTGGAGAATGCAGCTCATGCTCAGGGAAATGCCTGACCTCTATCTCCAATATGTCGTGTCAGATCACCTCCCGTTCCCAAAAAAACCCCTCAGAGTATCTTTTCAATGCCGTCTTTTTCTCCATCTAAAAGGGCCCTGGTAACCCCTTCCTCGTTTGAGTGAAAGAAACCAAAATGAGACTCTGACCATATTGAATGACACAATGGCAGTTCCAGTCAGTACAAGATAGAGACATGACATGATTCTCAAAGATACACCCGATCCCCTATTTTAAAACAACACTTCTGCTTAGTTTAGAGTGAAAGAATTTTGTTTCCTGACAGCTTTCTCGCAGGTTACTACTGAGTACTTTACATTCCTGGCTACTCCAAATCTGCACTATCAAGTAGGCCCTGCATCTGTGTCTGAGGGTTGCAGTATCAGAATCATGCAAGTTTCAGGTCTCCATTTTTGCCAACAAGCTCTTTACCACTTTATTTCTTGGTAAGGCTCAGACCTACTTGATTGTGAATAATACTGTTACGAAATTCTAAGAGTGTTATCTACATTGTCACATTTACTTATTCTTGTAAGCTTGTGTGCTGTTTTACCTTTTCGGACTGAATTAATTTAACCAGGGTGCAACATGTACAGGGAATCCGCATTTTATACACTCTAATTTCTACATTTGTGGTTTAATGCACCACAAAAATATATAAAATGTCCTAAATTAGGACAAAATAGTTCTCCCTTTAACACGTGGTCAAGGTCAGCAACATGATGGAGTATTAGAGACAATATACACAGTGTGACACAGTTGCAAACAAGATAAAAAGCAACTCCAGGGTGACACAAAGGCAGCTTAGTGATTTATGTCTTGGTTATTTACCACCCATCATTTATCTTCCATCATTTCACGCTTAATAAATACATTATTTTATAGTAGTTAAAATGGGTAGCTGTGTCAGTATGCATAGGCTGCAAAGGCTGTGGAGCCTTCTTCTGGTGTATTTTATTTTATTTTGTTTTTATTTTCTGTACCCTATGTTTATATTGAATAAAAGCGAAAATAAAATCAATAGAACCCTAAAACAGGTGGCCCAGTGGACAGCATTGTAGTCTAGAAGCTTTGGGGCCATGAGTTCAGTTCCTGGGGTACTGTGTGCATGGAGTGTGGGTGTTCTCCCTGAGTTAATGTGGGTATTCTCTGGGTGCTCCCATTTCCTCCCACTGTCCAAAGATATGCTAGTAGGTTAATTGAATTCTAGGAAAATTGGCCCTGGTGTGAGCGTCGTATGTTTGTGTGTGTGTTTGTGTTTGTCCTGTGATGGACTGGCGTCCCATTCAGGGTGTACCCTGCCTTGTTCGCTTTGCTTGCCAAGCGAGACTCAAGCTCCCCGTGGCTCTGTGGCTAAGGATCTGCCCCAGTGGCTGGAAGGTTGCTGGCTCAAATCCCAGAGCCGGCAGAGGAATCCTCCTCTATTGGGCCCCTGAGCAAGACCCTTAACCCCAATTGCTCCAGGGGTGCTGTACAATGGCTGACCCTGTGCTCTGACCCCAAGCTTCTCTCCCTGTCTGTGTCTCATGGAGAGCAAGCTGGGGTATGTGAAAAGATGAATTCCTGATACAAGAAATTGTATAGGGCTAATAAAGTGATGTTATGTTACTGGATAAAACAGTAAATGGATCGATAGTCTCAATGTATTTAAAAGGACCAAAAATAGTTGATATTGTAAGTCCAGATGTATCTGTGGGCACATGACCCCTGTATCTTTTAACCAGCTCACCAGCCACCACTAACACCACTATTCCTTTCATTTTAATTGTTTGAGGGGAGTTCAACCCTCTTTAACATGCATTCTTATGTGGATTAATTTTACATTTATGCTTTGCTGAAGTACAAACTCACTACTGTTGTAAAGGTAGTTCTCCTCTAACACAGCTTGAACATTTTACATTTATAATGTTCCACACTTTTGTACCGCATTTTCAAATGGTTTACTTTTGTTATACATGTTATACAAAAAAAGTCATGCAGACCATCACACAGTTCTGCAAAGAGCCTTATTACCCCAATATGTGAGGAGACAGTTTTCAGTTCCAGAGTTGTTGGGCTCCCATGCATTCCACTTGGTGAATGCCCATTTTGATCCGTCACTCCAGAGCCATTTGCCCTCCTATTCCGCCACACCACAAACGACAGAAACGAATAAAACAGAGTTTAAATGAATAACTCTGGCAATCGATATCTTGAAATTATTGTTGTGTCACAAACAGCTTTTAGACATATGTGTTGAGTTATTGCCATTTTTTCTCTGATTTCTGCATAAAATACAGTATGTCTCTACCTGTTTAGTCACAGAAACATTAAATATAACCACAGCATTACATCCATGGCTAGTTTACTAAAACATATTTTTGACTATCACTTTTATACAACAAGAACTGATACTTAAAAACAATTCTGTCACACATGCAGAATACAAAAAATAGCAAATGCCATCTCAATGCATTGTGAAACAAAAAAAATACATTGTAGAACATGAAAACCATGTTTGAATAAGAATATGAAAGCTATATTTACATACTTTATGCAGTATTCTGCATGAATCTAAATACCTTATAACACTTATTGTAGCCTCACTAATTGTTGTTTCTCTACTGTTCAAGTCAGAGTTGCTAAATCTTCCATCTCACATTTAATAAATACATTTATTAAATGTATTATAGTCCGATTATATTTACTATTATAGGATTACTCAGTCCTTCATGAACATTGCATGAATAAATAAGGTGCTTAACACTGTGCTTGGACCACATATAAATCATTCCTATACAGGAAATAAAGCATTTGTCTGCCTTTCACAATAAATACTCATCCCTTGACATTACAGCAGGTGGTTTTGCTACAACCTTCCTGGTTTGCTGTGTTTTCTTTTATCATGATGAAGTTATTCCACCCAAACCTCTTCAGCCAACTACACAATTCCCACCAAGAGCATCCACCTCCTCTAACCTCGGGGAAAAATCCAACTCTAACTATTCACAGAGTAAACTGTGGGGAGTGCTATCTGTGCTTCTCCCTTTCTGCTCTTCCTATCCATAACCAAAAAGCCTGGTGTCTCCTCAGATATTGCTCTCAGGATGGCTGCTAGACGTAACCATAGGGAGAGTTAACCATGTTTCAACCCTCATATGCAACCCACTTTTTTAAAATTCCATTCTGTCTAATCTCTGGACAAATACTTAGCTTCTTAACCTTTGGAGCATTCATAAGGGAGAGTTAATCATGTTTCTATCGCTCCAGCTTCCCCACTGCAAGAACACCCAGAAGTGTGAAACTGGTCTTAGCCCTGATCTACTGGCCAACCATTTCAACCAAGAGACCATTCCAATGTAAAGAGACTTCTTAACTGAATACGGTCCATAACCAATGTAGAGAGAAAGCCCCAATCTGCAACAGCTGCAGCAGAAGAGTCTACAGTCCCGTAATGCAAATGCAAGTATTTAATCTGCATGAAAATGCCTACACCTATTCTACTTTAAATAAACTTAAAACGTGACTTGAAGGCTGCTTCCCAGATTCCTAAACTTTTCAAACTCCAGCGAGTGACAGCTATTCCATTACAATGGAACTGTAAACCGTTAAATGTTATTTGAATTCACACTACTAATTCAAGCTGTAATAATTCTGTACTTTCATCAGAATATCAATAAAAAAAGTCATCTTGCGTATAACATTAGGAAAGTTAAATATTAGAGGAGGTCATTTAACACATCTAGGTCTTTACTGGAAGTTACTATGTGTTGCTTTTTTTTAAAGAAGCTAAGGTGTCAACAATGTGGCTGCATTACATGTTCCAGAGTCCCACAGCCTTTGGTCTAAAAGTACTTTCTACTGCATCTTAAGTTTTAAATGCACCCCTCTGTACCCCTCTGTACTAGTTTTCACAAACATTCTAAATGACCTCTTACAGGTAATCTTACTTATGTCATTAAGCTCTTACAATGTGTTGTGAATAAATGATCCAAAGAGCCAAGTTAGGGTGTTAGTTCTGTTTTGTAGGCCTCACGGGGGTTCTTCAGTTATCCTTTATAAATCCGTTATAAAGAGGAAATGAATAGATAGCACAATGTGCTGTACTTCACATCTCTATCTTGGGGGTATTTTGTGAGCAATGCTATACCTGTTCGCCATCACTACCTCCCAGCCAAGTGGAAGTTGCTCTTTTGGACACGATCAGATGTAGCAGAAATGTTTCCTCCTCTTCACTGTGCACCGAGGCCAGGTTTCCTCCCAATTCGATACAGTCCATCTGGAAAAGAAGAAGGAACGTGAGACAGGGAGACTATCATTTAATAACTCTATGCCTTTAGTAAAAGAACAATACAGTCAAATGTTATTTTTTTAGATATTTATACTGACACACATCCAATTGACGTGAGGACAGATAAGTGGGAATGGAGCTCATGGATCTTAACTGGAGAAATAAGAGAGTAGAATGAGAAATGTAATTTGAGGGGGTGGCTATTTTGTATTTTGTGATGATCATTATTATACCCTCGGAAGACAAAGATTTAAAGGGAGATAGCAGAAACAAAATGAAGAGAGAGAAAAAGAGAAACAAGGCATGCAAAAAGAAGAAAGAACATCATCACCTTCCTCCTTCTCTAAGCCTGTGGTACAGAAAATTAACCAATTCTCAGAGTGACACCTTAAGAGAAAATATTTCTGATAATTGAAAATATCCATTTGCGAGCAATGTGCAAAACATGTGATTAATTTAGCCAGATATTATTTCACATAGAAAGATCTGTTTTTCTTCATATGTACATTTCTGTATGTAGTTTGAGTGATATCAGAATATGGAGTCTCCTAGTGATAAATTGCTAGTGAGATCTAAACTATGAACGATAAAATGAAAAAAGTTAATGAATGTTTGGTTAACACATTTGTCTGTTTAGCAAGTGGGAAGTTTTCAGCAAGAGACCCAGGAAGTTAGTGTTGTAGTAGAATGAAGGATTCAGTTAGAGAGGAGAATGAATCTCAGGGGGAGAGAATCTCAGGTATGAGAGGGTCAACCACTGCCAACTGATGAGGAGCTAAAATGCTTTAATGTCTGTATTGCATTTTATTCCTGGCAATGAGGTCTTTAGCACTGAGAGATAGAAATGCAAGACTGGTACAATAATTCAAGAAATGGAAATTCTAAAGGGCTATTAGTACCCTTTATTCAGTATATCAACAGGATAGTTTTAAAAATACAAAAAATAAGGTGATAGAAGTAAAAACATAATTTTTGCTTTGATTTGAAATCTCTGAAGGCCATCTCAGATGGTTTATTTACAATTTTTAAACAGGTCAAAACCGATATGTATAATTGTTTGCAACAGGCTACACTCCATATACTTCAAAGGAGGAGCAAAAACATCAATAATGTTACATTATATTCACATTGATGACAATAAAGAGAAATGTATAGAGGAATCATTTCTTAGATTTGTAAGTGTTAATGAGACATTGATGATAGTGCTAACGGCAACACTGATAAGCAGTTTAGCAAATTGTTGCAGCCAGAGTCATGACAATGGATCAAACAGCTGCGGACCTCACTGTGATATCTACAGCTATCTACAGCTAGCCGCGTCATAACACATTATTGATAAAGCTCTGCATACCACACTGAACAACATGTGTAAATATATAAGGACTATTTTGTGTTCAGTTTCAATTATACCAGCTTTCACCCCTCCCAGTCACTGTCACAGCAGTACATACCTCAGCATCAGCCCAAGTCTTCTCTATTCCAATGTATTGGAAGCAGCGGTTCGCAAAGCTCACCCAGCCTGGAGGACACACGTCCTGGCACAGCTCTTCCTTGTTTTTACTTCCAGACACTGAGGAACACAAAATGGTAACAAAATGGTACAGAGCTGAAACACTACTTGGCTTGAAATGCTTCATTTCAACAGAAAAGAAAGAAGAAGAAAACGACCTCATGAAACAAAGGGCAAGAGGCCACTCTTTCTTGTAGTACACTGTTGTAGAGACTTTGTAGACCCGCCCCAAAAAGCAAAATAAACCCTGGAAAACCCATCTCCACCTCCCCAAAGTCTAACATGATACACTGATAGAGTCAGGTGCAAAATTAGATCTTTTTTTATTTGAGAAAATGTTTAATATGATAAAATTAGATCACTGTATGCTATCTGATGAAGAATTGTGTATGCTGAAACATTAACAAGTTTCACAAGTTGTAATATGTTTAATTGAATAAAGATAATATGTATTCAGCATATCCTATTACATCTAAGTTAGCTCCATGCTCATTATATAATATGCTGTGCTAGAGGAATAAAAAAAACATGCGCCACATTATATTCAATTTTTTCTCTAACTATATAACATTACAGAATATAAAATGTTTATTTTCTCTAACTATATAAAGAGTTTTCACTTCTATTCTTTGCTTCAGTAGCAGTCTGGTGCCAGGACCTGACATTGAGAATTTGACTGAAACACTTGGAACAATATACAGTAGAGAGAAAACATTAAGAGTAAGAGCAAGGTACAATCTGCGATCCATGTTTGTTACTGGATACCACTTTAATGAACCATAAGAGCTGATAAAACAATTAAAGTATTGAAAACTGAAGGGGCTAAGTTCATGGATAAGAATTCATATCAGATTTCATATCAGTAGAACTATTCCATTATACCATTATCAGCTTACACCTGAAGAAAGTTTCACAGCCGAAACATTTTGTTTTCTTTCTTCTCTTTTCCACATGGATTAAACTTATTACTTGTTCCTTTGCAGCCTACACATGTGTTACGATCCTTGCCTCTCGGCAACGGAGGAGGCAGAAGTAGGTGTAGCCCCTATCCATCAGTTCACCTATCAGTTTTCCCATTC